ACAATGTTTTCCCCCTTAGGTTAAAATTGAAAGCATGCTTCCTAATCTACTGGAGGGTAGGGATGGGGCATCAAAACTTGCTGATGCTGTAGCTGTTGTGTGCTTTCAAGTTGTTATTTTTTTTACTTACAGCAAGATTTGTTCAGAAGAGGTTCGTTTTGCCTTTCTCTAGGACTATGAGAATAGGAACTACCAAATGTCACCCAATGGGTTTTATGGTTGAGTGGGGATTTAAACCCTGGGCTCAAGTCAGAGTTCAATGTTCAAAGCAATACACCACTCTGGCTCCTTATATGTCCTTACCATATGAGTCAAGATAAGGAAGAGCTAGAATCAGGAAAGACTTTGGGTAGTCATAGTGGTTCATCCTATCAGCCATGACATATTGGTATTTTAAATCCTTTAGTCAGAGTGATATCATTTGTCATAGACACATCAGATTGACATGTTGCCCTTATTAATATTGCTGTGTGTTATATCATGGTCTAAAGTGAGCCTCAGAAAATTAGACCATGAAATTTTCTGAGGTTCACTTTATACTCTATTTAAGGACATGAGTGCACCCTGGCGCAGTGTCAGTGTTCAGATGTTTTGCTAAATGTTGATCACTGAGATGAGTTAGCTAACCTCTTCCCAGCTGATCTAAACTTTCTTGATTTTAGTAGGGCCTTTGACAGAACCCTTTATGATATTTGTGAGGGGAAACCTGGTACAATGTGGGCTATACATTGTGATTGTTGGGTGAATTTGTAACTGATTGATGGTGAAATCCCCAAAATGCTTACTGATGGTTTCATCTGGAAGAGAAATGATTACTTGAGTACCACAATCCTGGGCCTTGATATTATTCAACATGTTTATTGGATGGAACAGATTTGGAGATGACACCAAATTAGACAGTAACAAAATTCATGCTGTTTTAGATACTGCTGGTAAGAGATCCAGTATTCATTGATAATCTCATCTTCCATAATTTTTTGATTCCACTTTTAACTTTTAACGCCATCTATGCTGGTGGCTATTGACTGTGTTTCACAGAAAATTGTGAATAAGACTTCAGTCTGTTTTATTGCAAATTAAATTTCACATTTAACTGGAATTTATGAAGACTTACTGTATATTCTGTTGTTTGTCCTAAATCTTACAGATTAAGTTTCACTTGAACATCCCAGAATTTCAGTTTTATGGGTGAGGAGAAAAAACTTTCCCCGTTTACATTATTTTTTAATATTTTATATAAAATGTTAATTGTCTTTGATGCTTCCCCTCCACATTCACCCTTTTTCTGATTGAAAAGGCGGCAAACATCTTAACATTTCTTTAAAAGGCAATTGTTTAAACTTCACAATCATTTTAGTTGCTTTTTCTCTGTTTTTTCCCATTTCCAAAATAACCTTTTTTGAAGCCTAAATACCAAAACTCACCACAGTATTCTGAATACAGATGCATCTTACATCTATATATGTGGAGCATGACATTGATAGAGACTCAGTGTGCTATACCGGTTTGAGTGTTGTACTAGAACTCTGGAGACCAAGATTTGAATCCTGGAAGTAGCACTATATATGTCCAGAGTACCAAGGAATCAGTGTGGTGTAGTAGTTTGAGTGCTGGAAAATGACTTTGGAGACCAGGGGTCAAATCCCTGCTCAGCCATGGAAACCCACTGGGTGACCTTGGACAAGTCTCTTCGCCTCAAAGGAAGGCCAAGGCAAACCCCTCTGATCAACTCTTGCCCAGAAAATCCTCTCATAGATTCACCTTGTGGTCACAATAAGTTGAAAACTACTTGAAGGCACACAATGACAATGACTTTGGCAGTTTTCATTTTAATTCCTCCTAAATTTAAGAAATTCTGTATGGAAAACATGTGCCTTCATATGTGCCTTGTGTTACCTGGAGGGTTTATGTACCAGGTTTCTGCTGGATTCTGTTCAGTTGTAAAATAGCTCCCTGTTTTCATAAAAGGAACAGTAGGTGGAGATGGCCAGAAAGACATGCATTGTAAGAAATACAAAACTTCAAATTCATGAGCATCGGCTTGCAGTTTGTTGCTGTTCCAAACATCAACCAAGAGAAATTAACTATTTTTTTAAGAATGAGAAATAATGAAAGGAAGCCAAAATCCCTAATGCCTCTGGAGAATATTCTGCTGCTTTTGATAAGACTGGTTCTAAGTTAGTTGTTAAACTCAGTCCTGCTCGAAGGTCAAGGCTTGAACACCATCTGGCATGACAGGGACCTTTTCCTTCCCCTTTCTCACTTTGGTGTTAATTTATCCACAAAGCGCACAGCAATTCACTGTTGTTAAGCACATAACTAGACAACAACCCTGAGAAGTTCAGCCAAGTGTAGCTCACAATCCATGTCCCTAGTGGCAGCCTATGGAGGAAAGGATGTAAGCTAGAGGCTTGTATGTCAAACAGTTGATTAGGGTTAGTCAGATATAGATTTAAGGTTGTTAGGAATTGATGAGTTTTCCATAGCGTTTGCAGATTGTGAAAGCATGAAAAGAGTTCAGAGAAAAGTATTAGTTTTGTTAAAAACTGAGATATCCTTGTGCTAGGTATGGAACTAGCCTAAGGTTAGTTATTTTTTTTCATTTGAGGCAATAAGTCATTTTTATTTTTTATAACACTGTTTCAGTTTGATAATTCATGAAGAAAACTGATTACATTTTAGCGCATCAGTCAAAAAAGTGACATTTATCCAGTATAGTGTTCACCTTTAGTCCCAAGTACCAAATTCAGTGAGTGAAAGGAACTCATGGGCTGGAATTTTGAGGTCAACCTGTTTAGGGGATCTAATGTCCCATTGTATTAGCTTGATGTGGACTTAGGCTTCTGACATCTCCCATGTCCTTAAATGACTTCTCTTCCCCCAATTAGTAAGAGGAATCTAAGAAAGGTGGGTTGCTTTGGAATATGGAAGGTGTTCATAGGCTTCCTGTTGCTCACGGCAGTGTAATAGACTGAATTATGATTAGCACGCCCTACAGAGCAAGAAAATCCTCTTGTGTACCCTAGAAATTGCCCCTCCTGTGGGAATTTGGGGTGAAAATCAGATTCAGATCATTGTCTTTTAATTAGAACAATGATTATTAAAGATGCAAAATCATGTCAAATATTATGGGTTTATGAATACATAAGGTTTTGAAATAATACTAAAAAAATAATTTTGATGTGCTAAGGAATGCCGACTTGCTTTTGTAAAATGTTGCCATTGTAATATATTTATTTATTTACTGAATTTATATCCTGCAGTTATTTTCCTGCTTTAGATTCAAAATCAATGTAAAGCTACTTGAAGATTTTATGGGATTTTGATATCAGAATTCAATAATATAATACAGCAGTTAAATGTCCAGTTATTAATATAGAACTAGGGAAGACAAAACAGGGATTGGAAGGTTATGCTTGTTGCATGAAGAACAAGGGGAACCATGGCTCTTCCATGGAAAAGAGAACAAATTCCCCATCTTTGTGAAATCTGGGTATTTTCAGCTGAGCTGGTACTGTGATAATAATAATAAATCCTAACAACCACATCCGAGTAAGGAATGTCTGGCAACAGTCGAGAGATTTAACACTTGGCTCCAACTCATTGCAAATATTTGGCAAGGCCCCTTAGTTCTGCAGAAGTTCTCTTCAAAATTGTTGGGCAGCATTGCTGAAAGAGAACATGGGCAATATTGGGTTTCTGCGATACAGTCCTAAGGTGTGACATAATTGTACCCTATCCAGATGTTCACAAACAAAAAAGATTGCAACAATTTCATTCAAAATGAAAGACAGATTTGTTATGTGGCTGGGATGTGGTGCCCATGTATATTCAAACATTTTGAAAAGTCTCAAAGTGTTTCTTCAGTGAAAGAAATATATTCTGCAGAAATATACATGTCACAGGAGACTTTTAAAAAAATTCATTAACTTGACAGTGCTTGAAAGAATAAATGGTCCACATTTCCTTATAAATACTTTAAAAAACAATATTGAGGAGCTTCCCTTTCATGACCTTTCACAATTGTTTCTTACAGAAATTTTTGTGCCAGAGAATTGTTTTATTACGAAGCTAGGGGTAGCATGCTAAAGAGAATCATGCCCTGGGAAGAGGATGGATAAGGTGTTCCCCAAGGACTGTATATGCCCAACCCTCTTTGGGGCTCCAAAACTTTTCCTGTCCCCTCCAGAAACTGTCAGACAGATGGCTCAGTTGCCACTAGGAACAGCAGTTTTCCACTATGACATCAGTCAATACCCAATAGGTGCAATAAAACCACAAGATATCACTTCTGGATGCAACTTCTGGCCCATCTACAGATCAAAATTGGGTTGTCTGATCTGACTTGGCGTAGAACCTGGTTTAGTTGCCCATCCCCACCCTAGAATGAACAGCTTGCTGGAAACAAGATTGAATGTTCCCATAAAGCGTCTCTCCTAAATTGTAAAAACTGTTATATCCCACCCACCCGCCAAAAATATGAGCAGATATTTCAACAAAAGAGTATGCATCAAATAGCAACAATAAGAATATGTTTGTGTATTGTATGAAGATGTAATGTTTAATCAGAATGGATTTTGTCTGTCTAGTGTGTATTGATTACATAGAGCCATACGCTAAGTTGTGTCCATCTAACCTGCTAGATGCTATAAAATGTGGACTTTGTTCTTGACCTTTGATACACTTAGGGGAAAAATAAGCCATGAGTAAACGTTTGGCGTGGTTTGCTGGTATTGTGCCCTTATTTAGGCAATATTCTGGAAGTTGTTAAATTGTAACCTTGCTTATACTGCTTATGCTGAACAGCCTGTTTGGAGAGTTGTTACCTTTTATGTGCAGATTTCTGAATGACAGAGGTCCTTATATATGGCTGGTTCTAAAGGTAATTCCTGTGTTGGTGTTTTTTTTTGTATCCAGCTGGCTTCTTACCTTGTGGTTTGTAAGGATTTGAATCTTGTCCTGAGATAGCACTAACTTGACCTATTTCTGTCTCTTCCTAGATGTTACGTGTTTGGGGAAACCTGACTACATCTCTCAGATGAACCTCAGTCTCAGAAGATGCCATTAGGATACTCCCCTCTATCTTCTCAGAACATGGAGGAAAAGGATAATGAGAAATACAACCAAGCTGGCCAAATATTTGAAAACTTTGTCCAAGCCTCAACATGCAAAGGCACAATTCAAGCCTTCAATATCCTCACCCGTTACCTTGAATTAGATCCGTTGGACAACAGGAACTTTTATCCAAAGCTGAAATCAAAGGTGACCAGTTGGAAAGCCAAAGCTTTGTGGAATAAGCTAGATAAAAGAGCAAGCCATAAGGAATATAAACGTGGGAAAGCCTGTGTGAATACTAAGGTAAGGCAATAATATATGTGTTTGCTAATGCTTTGTTCTGAAAGTTGGATCCTTGGTTATTTTCCTACTTGGTAGTTCTTACATGACTTACAATTTACAGATATCTGATATTTGTCAACTGCCCTGCACTTCTATGGGAAACAGCAGGCAATAAATTGATTAATAATTGCAGTAGTACTATTAACAATACGGATGGAGTTGTTTATTTATTTATTTATTTATTTACTTTGCTTATATACCGCTGTTCTCAGCCCAGGGGCGACTCACAGCGGTTTACAACATAGGAACAACAAAATTCAAGACATAGTATAAAAACAATTCTGGCCCCAGAGTGGCCGTTGGTGTTGGGGGAGAGGCGCTGATGTCACAGGGGACAAGATGGCAATGTCCTCCCGGCTCCCCTTCTTTATTCTGGCCCCAGAGTGGCCGTTGGTGTTGGGGGAGGGGCGCTGATGTCTCTCAATCAGTAAGCTGTTGGTCACAATGTTTTGTTCTCTGATGATCAATATCTGTGTAACATACAATTTCCATACTTGTCATGATTATACATTTGGGTTAACCTCCATCAGTGAAAAGACTTCATTTTTTATAGTGTACTTCCCTTGTGGGTAGCTTATCAACTGTCTACTCCAGTGCTTACTAATTGTGTATCATAAGGGTAGAGTGAGCTGGTCTTCCATCAATGGAAAGTTATGCTTGATGTATATTTTTTGTCTGTTTCTACTTATTTTAATCCATACTGTGATGGAGTGTAATGTGACCACAAGATTTGAAATGTTAACAGTGCTTTAAAATCTAAGTACACATACGCCTGTTGTTGCCCTATCTGTTCATTGCCTGAAAGGAAGGAAAACTACTTGTCAAAAAGCTGCATCTGCTAGTTAGAGACCTGTGAATCTTAACTTCATCTGCTAGGAGAATGTCCTGAACTCAGAATATGAACAGGATCATTTGTAGTGAAGGCCACAGAATGTATCATTAGGCTTTTGAAACTGTGGTGTCATTCAGTTATGATCCTTCCTCAAGATGTTTTCAGTATATTTGTACTTTCATCTTATTTGTATGTAGTAAATTGAGAAGCATCCTCTTTTTGTTTTATTTCCACAAAGAATGGGCTCATAGAATAGTCACAAAAATCAAAGCAGCACATAGATAAACTGTGGAATAAATGAATGAAGCACTATATTGATGAATATGTTTGGCTTATCTGACATTTCAAACACTCCACAAAGACCTAGAATTGTTTTTACTGCTATCGGGATATCAGACTGTGGGTATGAAAATGCCTAATCTGGGGAATGAGAATGAAAACATTGACGGTGGACTGCAGGCTTACCGAGGCTATCAAGCTTTCATTCCTGACTTATGATTCATAGTCTGCTTTGAAAATATATCTGTGGCACATGAGTGATAGGAAGCTCATCCAGACAAGAACAACTCCCCAGGGATTACTTTGACGCAATGTTGGTACTGAGATGCAAAACATACCAACTTGTCAACTGGCAGCTTCATAGATTCTTAAAGGTAAAAAGACCCACCAGCGTAGATGTTATTTTGGGAGAGCAAATGTTTTATTTTGGATTGGACAGGCATGAGTCTCACTTTGAATAAAAGAGGTCAGGGAACTGAGCCCAAAACAAGGGACATGACCAGAGTGTTGTGACATAGTGCAGAAAAGCCAAACACAATGCTTTGGGTTTTTTTTATAAATGATTTTTATTGTGTGAGTTTTTCTTTTACAGACAAAAATATACATACAAAATAAAAGTTAGCGATGAGGGTATAGAGAGAAATAGAGAGAGAAGAGCGAAAAAGAGAAGGAGTGCAAATCGGAAAGAAAGAATGACGTTGGGACAGACAGTCCATTTGGATTATGTCGAATGTTTTTATGATCCAATCTTCGACTGTCGGGGTTTCCTTCTGTTTCCACATTTTGGGCAGCAGTATCCTGGCCACTGTACTTATTAGAAAGAACATTTTTTCTTGATTTTTGTCAAATTTGGGGTAAGATATGCCCAATAGATACATTTCTGGAAGTTGTGGGAAGTTTGTTTTTAGAATTTTTTGGGTTGATAAATGTATTTCTCTCCAATATTTCCTGATTTTTTTACATCTCCACCATTGATGGTAGAAAGTCCCTATCTCTTTTTGGCATTTCCAGCATATATTTAAATAAACACAATGCTTTGTTTAACCTCAATGATCAGAGTTTGGGAAGGCTACTTTTTTGTACAGTGAGTAATTTTCAGTGAAGTCTGTACAAATGTGTCTTTTAATACTAATTTTGTGTATAAACATCACACAATGCATATTTATCAATATATTATATCTCAATGTATGCATTTAACATGACCACTTTAAAATATTTTTAATGCCTTTATTGATCGGGGAGCCAGCACTGCAAAGCCTAGAAAAAAGGACAGGGCATTTAAAAAAAGATGGACCTTATTTAAAAATACTGTGTCTTTGCAACCACAGAGTGTCCATGAATGAAATTTCTTCTTTAATATATGGGGCATAGAGTTTCAAAGGATTGCTGCTAGATGTCTCTCCCAGTGCACAAACAGACCCTAGCCTCAGTCATTTGCAAGATGGCAATCCAGCAACAGAAGATCTAATGAGATATTCTGTATTTTTAGATTTATTTCTGGCTCAGAATTGGTAGTAAAACTTGATAAGTCATTAAACTATTTGTAACTTTAAATGTAATTGTGATGTGTAGCCTTTATGAAATATTCTGCTTTAAAATTGGGTGCTTCAAAATAATGAACCCAATCTCAAAGCAGTATATTTCACTCCAATATGTATAATATCTAAAGCATAATTGTATTGTACTTTACACATTAATTTGAGAGAAGAGGTGATGATCAGACCAGTCTGCAGCAGAATTTGCAGTGATCAGAACTTTCAAGTGATCCTAGTTCAAAAGCAATTGCAGGTGCATTGCATTGTTTAATACAGAGGATATAATATAAGTGGGGCAATGGCTTGAAACCTCCCTTGAATTATCATTCTAGATTTTCCATTAATGCTGCACATAGACCGAAGCAAAACTAAATAACAAAGACGCATATATGAGAATAATATTTATTCTGAGGAAAAAACCCATAAGTTTTTGTTTTGTTTGTCCAAGCACTATCAGGTTCGGACTGAGTAATCTAATAGGGTACCTTTGTGGTTTCATATACAGTGTGGCCCCATATCTTTGGGTCTGATATCTGCAGTTTCATTTATCAATTTCCAACAAAATATGTCCTCTCTAGGCATTTTATAAGTCCTCCAGTATGACTATATTATATTTTTGAGGCCAAGAATCCCTCCTTTCAACAGTTTGCTATGATCTGCAGTTTCTCAAATGATGATGATGATGATGATTATTATTATTATTATTTCTTACCTGCCTCTCCTCATGGCTCGAGGCAGCTTACAAAACAATTAAAATACATAAGCACAGCAAAAACACTAGAAATACACACACTAAAACGTACCTCCATAAAAGTTACACAGCAAAACATATCTCTACAAAATACATACTAAAACACACAAAATAGAGATCAAAGGACACTTAAAATTCATATTTAAAAACTGGGTAGGCCTGCAGGAAGAGATATGAGCCAGTATGAGCACTAAGATCTGCTGGGGAGGTTCTGCTTTCGGTCCCACCTTCTTTCCAAGAGCGACTGGTGCAGATGAGAGGCAGGCCTTCTTGTTGGTGACCCCTTGGCTTGGAACCCCCCTTCCTGGTGAGATTAGACTAGCCTCCTCCCTCCTGGCATTTAGGAAACAAGTGAAAACCTGGCTATTTAAACAGGCTTTTGATGAGTGGTGGAAAGGCAATTCAGCATCTTGCCATAACATGGTTAAATAGAAGCTGAACTATGACTAAGGATTGGTGCAATATGTTATTTGTGTTTTGGATTCATACTTTAATATGTTTAATTGTTTTTATTGTGTTTTAAATTTCTGTTTAATGATTTTAATTTATGTTTATCTATGTGTACAGTTGTGGCATTGAATGTTTGCCTAAATATATGATGTACGCTGCTCTGAGTCCCCCGTAGGGGTGAGAAGAATGGGATATAAATGAAGTAAATAAATAAATAGGTATTTACATAGTTCTTAAATTTCGACAGCTCATTTTGGAGTTCTTTCTGAGGTGATTCCAGTCATGGGGCAGCCGATGAAAAGGTCCTCTGGGTGGTAGTTGCCAGTCGGATTCTGGCTGCTTGGAGCAGATCCCCCCCACCCCAAGAAGACCGGAATGTGTGAGGTGGATTGTGTGGGAGAAGACAATCCTTTTGGTAACCTGAACCCTAACTATGTGAAGAGTGGGAACATATCCATAGTACCATAGTGGAGAAATTGCATTGTTATGTGAGAGTCAAACTAACAACTACATTATTTCTGTGGTCATGACTCCTTTCTAGGTTTCAAAAATTAATGCTGTCCTCTCTCTGATTTTATTAAGATCATAGCACAGAGGGAGGGAAAATTGAGCTATCACTCCATTTACTGCAATTAGTGTTAGAGGAAAAGCTCCCAATAGGAATTTTGAAAAGTAAAAGTAAGTAAAACAAAATAAAATCAATGCAGACCACAGAACAGAATCTAGAGTTGTAATTTTCATTGTGGTCACAAGTAGGGAGGAAAAAGTTATACTTTCCTTCTCCATTCACTCTAATGAAAGGGTGTGTGTGTGTGCAATGTTCTATATCCAGTGTTTCTTTTTTAGAAAAAAAAAACCCAGACATGGTTACTGACTGTACAATTAGAGTAACATCTCTTTCTTCTTATTCAACTCTGAGTGTATTATAATGGAAATTGGAGGATGAGGGGGATCTCCTGCCTTTGCGACAGCTGAGGGGACTCCTTTGTGGACCCTTCTCGTTTCTGATCCATCCAATGTGTAGCAGGCCAGATTGGCCCCCATTTTTCATCTGTGAAAAGTTGAAGGGTGTGCATGACTTCTTGATCACTGTTGACTAACCTTGAGGTTTTCC